GTGACGTCCGATTGCCGCACCACCACCAGCTGCAGAGTTGAGACACGTGTCGGATAATGCCGCCCGTCGAAGTTGAATATCGGCTTCCTGAAAAGTAAGAAAAACAAAGCAAAGTTGTAAGACGGGGAGGGGAAAGCAGCAAGTACTCATGACCCTGACCACTTGCCGCAGAGTAAACAAGGGAACTGTCCATTATAACGTGCAATAATTTTGGGTCGATTTCATCAGTGAAATGCAGACGAGATGGCATGTTTCAGGACAGGACTTGGCGGTAATCAGCCACAAAAACACGGAGTTCTAGCTCTTGGCGAGTTCCGAGATAACAGACAGAAACAGAACCTAGTTGTCGGGGGTCCAACACCGAAGCATTCAGTTCGACAAACCCCGGAACAGAGTCTTGGCCGTGCGACTCCTACAACGGTGTTTGTTTTACTTCATGGCTCACTAGAGTACAATGAAACACCGAGGCAGTGTGATTTGACAGAGTAAGAATGCTAGAAATCTACTCAGACAGGAAATCATCGATTTATCCGTTATGCTGAAGTCTTCATGATCGGACGAGAAGCACCACAACCAGTTCATTATGGAGTCGTCCAGCCGACGAGAGGCCCTGTTATTTTGGGCAACACCGTAACTACCAACCAACGGACTGTTGAATCAAGTTAGAAACCAGAACCGGAACCTCTCAGGTGCAAAATTGGTGACTGTTCGAACGAGCTGCTTGGACGATTCTCCAGCGGTACTCAACCGCAACTTTTGCTAAGAGGCGGTTCGACTGGGCTACCAATGTCAACTTCACGGCCACCAGATGCAACCACGACGAGGTAAAGACTGCTTCCGAAAGAGTTTCTTCATTGCCCCAAAAGGAAGTCTGGCATTCAGCTGAAAACCCAGAATGGACTTTACAAAACATACGAGCTCAAAACATATTTCACACACATTGTCAATTCGGCGGTAAGCTAGAGGTAGTTAGGAAACAAACTGCTGACCACAAGGCTGATCATGATTCACAATCGTTGTCCAGGCTTAGGCAACGTGGTGGCACTTTGGCGGTCGTGCTTCCTTCGGGTTGAATGGTAGCTATGCATTGACTGGATACCATAGCTGAATAAAAAGGTCCGAGATGAATATAAGTACTTGACCTCGCTTGAATTCAACCTTAATGGACTTGCGCCTCCCAACAAGCAGCATTGCTGACGGTCCTCGGATGAACACTCCTCACTGCAAGCTGAGAGAAACGTCTGATAGACCCGCTAAGGGAACCTAGTCCGAGTGAAGTCTCTTAGGAACCGATCTGATAGCACCATATTGAGCAGCCATCCCAAGCGCTGCTGATTCCGAAAGTAGTTCACTGATTGGCGGATTTCACACCTAATGAAACAAGGTTTCATGACACATTCAGTTGCCTGGAAACAACACAAACCAGTTATTCGGCTGGGTTCCATCCGTATTGGGAAGGCCAGAGCAGCTTTTGCGAACCTACGTCACCTGTGACGTAGGCGTGACATCAGTTTCTCTGTCAAGGGTCGACTTTACAATCCTACGGTGCGCTCCATATTACTACATGGATCAGAAACATGGCCGCTGCGCGCCGAGGACGTCAAAAGACTTTCAGTGTTTGACCATCGATGTCTTCGGAGCATTGCCCGAATCTGGTGGGAACACCGGATCAGCAATTCTGAAGTACGTCGAATGGTACCCGGGAGAAATAACTCGACCTCGATAGATGAACTGATCACACTGCACAGGTTACGCTGGCTTGGCCACGTGCTGCGTATGCCAGTCGACCGACTTCCTCGAAGGGCTCTTTTCGCCCAACCACGTGAAGGGTGGGAGAGATCCAGAGGCGGTCAAACAACGACTTGGCAGCAAATTATGAAAGCCATTACCAGCAAACTCAGCTGCGCTGGTCACTGCCGTCTTCCTGGATGGGGAGCCCGAGACGGGTCACATCAATGGCTAGTGACATTGTCAGACATGGCCCAGTCGCGCCCTCAATGGCGCTCATGCATCAAAGCTATTGCCTTCAATGCATAGCTCCTTTTCCACCCCCCGCTTGACAACCCACTGACAGTGCTGGATTTATGCACCAATTTACCAGCTCGCGCGCGCAGTGCGCAGCTACCTACCCCCCCCCCCTAATCATCGGTGAACGAAACTGTGGCAGCTACAACCAGTGTACGACGAGTACGCGGTTCTTACAGCTGACAATGATGATGATGATGAGTCTCTTGAAAAACCAAATTAGTTTGCTAATTCCGTGCAATTTGGTTTCAAGTAGAACATAAAGTTGACGGAAACTCGCGGACTGTGCCTATCTGATGGGCCCCAAGAAGGGCGAAACCGGTCGTGGGCTGTCGATGAATTTTCAGCAACCTGATGAGTAGTGCATTACAAATATACATGTAACGCGATATCTCAAATATGGTAGCGACTGAAACATGAGGCGGTCTGGTGCAGCACACTCACTTGCCTGGAAACATCACAAACGAGAGATTCAGCTGGGTTCCAGGTGAGTCTCTCGCGAAAGCAAATTTGTTTGCAAATGAGTGTATTTCGCTAACGGTTTCATGTTCCTTAGTCCGCCCAGGGAAAAGCACAAGAACGGCAATTTTTAATTTACTCGGTGTGAAGCTGGCGGTCAGACAGTTCAACGGATCTACCAGAGTTTCACTGAACGTGACTGACGGCACAAGTCGTCAACGCAATGCAACATCGGTGCTGTCGAACTGACCGGTGTCGGACGAAACGTTAGTTAAAATCAGCTGGCAGAGTTTTTTTGGACGTGAATCACTGGGTGATTTTTCGAGTTGCACAGCAGAAGTGACGCATACCACTGGCTGAGTCGCAGACTGATGCGAGTTTAACAACTGGACGTCCAGTACCGTTAGTCACCAATAAACCAGGTACTAACAATACGTCGGTTCCGACCAGAACAGTCACTCGAAAAAACGGAAAGAGAGCCAGCCATCGGAATTGGTGTACCAATAAGTCAGCGCTTGTCTGATCTGTTTGCTTGCATTTGGGAAAAGGAGTCTGTCCCAGACAACTGGGAGGAATCGGTGATAGTGCCCATTTTCAAAAAAGGGGCGCGTAGTGAGTGTGGTAACCATAGGAGGATCAGCCTGACCCCGGTTGTAACGAGACTGTTGGCGTCAATTATGCTTCGTCGCCTTACGGTGGCTCGTGAGATACTGACCCGAGAGCAGCAAGCGGGATTCCGGCCTGGTAGGGGTTGTGTTGACCAAATCTTCACACTGCGTCAGGTACTAGAACAACGCCATACGTATAAGCGACCCACGATTCTAGTATTCCTGGATTTCCGAGGCGCATTCGACTCGGTTGATCGGTCTGTTCTTCTTGAGACGCTTGCCCACCAAGGAATGCCCCGGAAGTTTGTAAACATAATACGTTCTTTGTATTCTCAGACTTCCGGACGTGTGAGAGTGTACGGAGAGCTCTCCAAAAGCTTCCGCACACAAAGCGGTGTCCGTCAGGGATGCCCACTCTCTCCATTCCTTTTTAACTTTGTGATCGATGAAATAATGAGACGAACGCTGGAGGGTCTCCAAAACCCTGGTGTTCAAATAGCCAGTGAAGAAAACCTTGTCGATCTGGAATATGCAGACGACATCGTTCTCATGTTCGAAGAGGAGGAGAAGGCGCAAGTATTCTTGGATGAACTGACCAAAGTCATCCCGTCCTTTGGTATGCATTTTGCACCCACAAAGTGTAAGGTCATGCTTGTGGACGTGCAGTCACTGAACACGCCCCTTACAATCCAGGGAGAGGTACTGGAAGTTGTGGAGCGTTTTACGTACCTTGGAAGTTGTATTAGTTCTGATTGCAGTGTGACAGATGAGGTGAATGCACGAATCTGCAAGGCTCGGGCCGCGTTTGCTAACTTGAGACACCTATGGCGTCAGAATGGTTTATCCCTGAATCTGAAGGGACGTGTGTATCAAGCTACAGTACGGGCTGTTTTGTTGTATGGCTGTGAGACTTGGCCTATTCGAGCAGCGGAACTGAGACGTCTTCAGGTGTTCGACAATCGTTGTCCCAGAACCATAGCTCGTGTGAGTTGGTGTCAGCGAATCCGTAACGAGGCAGTTAGAAGGCGATTTACTGGTTGTGTAACGGGCACTTCCATTGAAGAATGTGTCCAGAACCAGAAGCTGCGTTGGTTGGGACATGTGTTGCGTATGCCGAACCGCCGTTTGCCGAAGAGAATGCTGTTTTCCATGCCCAACTCATAGTGGCTTAAGCAGAGAGGAGGCCAACCCTTGACTTTGCAGAGGAGTATGAAGGAGATCACGAAACGCTAGGGTGCTGTCGGTGGTATTTGCCTTCCAGGATTAAGACCGCGTGATCTTCACTGTGCCTGGTTGGAGACACTACAAGATATGGCTGCCAACCGATGTCAGTGGCGTTCTTGTTGTCAGTTTCTATCCAGATTGCCTGACTGACTCTCTGGAGGTGTAGGCACCTCGGAATGATTGTGTTAAGCTAGCACTAAGTCCCTGTCCCGTCCACCCTTACTCTTTTCTTTACAATAAGGCTTTCAAATAAGTCATGGTTGTACGGCAGTGAAGCATCGGTGTTGAACACTGATGTCATGCTGTCGATGACGATGACGATGATGAAGTCAAACGACTAGGCCTAGCCTAGTTGCCTGATGAAATGAGTAGCTACGTATTGAGGGCCATAGCGTTCACGTAGATTTTTAAATAAACTATAGCATCGCAACTAAACACGATGACGATGATGAAGTCAAACGACACTCATAGGCCTAGTTGCCTGATGAAATGAGTAGCTACGTATTGAGGGCCATAGCGTTCACGTAGATTTTTAAATAAACTATAGCATCGTATGGCAACTAAACACCACAAGGTGAACACTGATATTGTGCCGTTGATTAGGTGCGGAATTCGTGCTGTGATTGACAACTCAGTGCGGTCAGTGTGTGTGACTTTATTCGGCAAATCGAGTGGCTTAGGCGCCTAAGACCAGCTAAGCACCGTCATTAGATAAAATGCCTAGAAAACCGTATTTCATAACCAAGACCAAGTACATGAAGTAAATACCCCCACAAGGTCTCCGAATCCACACCCTGCTTACCTTCAGCGCCTTGTTCTCATTGCGCAATGAAGCTATCTCAGCCAACAGGCTCTCCACTGTGGGTCCTTTCACCGGAGGTTCCGCATGCTATAGAAACAGGCATAACAATTAACAATTTGCGGTGGGGACTCACCGAAGCATGCGCGTGGCTAACTTTGATAGGTTTAACCTTCTCGTCCTAAACCGGAACAGTGAGAGGTGACGAGCGGGGGCAACAGGAAAACTTACGGATGCCTGCTGGGTTCCACTGAAGACACATTTCAAAAACGTGTCTGTGGTCTGTGCAGTCGAAACCTATAACGATGGGAAAAGTGAAAAATTAGTCCCCTCGCTCCCGTCGACATACCACTTCCTCCAACGGACGTGTTTCTGAATCACTTATGGTCAAAGATTTTATCAAGACACGTTCTCTCGGTCTGTCCAAATCGGATGAATCCATAGGCTTACATGTGACTATGGGGGATAAGGTGAGGATGACGGTGGGAGGGTGGGTGATAGTTACCCGTGACTTTGACCGATTCGTTTGGTTGAAGAACCGCAGAAACGGGAGAAGCGGATAGTTTTTGTGAGAAAACGTGCAACTTGAACCACATTTGCTCACGTGAGGGATTGGTCAGTGTGACGGTGGCCGAAGATGGCTTGTTAAATGGTCCTTAAAGAGGAAAACTGTGAGAAGCGAACAGGGGGGTCCAGATACCTTCAAACACCAAATCGTGACTGGGCTCGACAACTAGTTCGCCGGGTAGTCGTAAAACGCAAATCAGTTTTGAATCTCTGATTTTGTTCGGATGGGCATATTGCCACTGGAAGGGAGCATAATACGAAGAATGTGAACAGACACCAACCACTTCTTCCAGCGTGGTCGAATCGCCGTCTGGCATAGGCATGCTTTGAATCATAAATTTGTGTTTTGCTTTTTCTGCAGGGTCATAGTTGAATGGCTGAAGCATAACTGTTTATGCGGGAAAGAGTGTGACACGAACCAGACCACTTACCGGCCACGTTGAGTCGTTCATGTGGCTTTAACACCCCACTGCTTGGTCTTACACAGTATCGTTTGGGGACCGTTGTTTTGACCTTGAAACATACTGATTGGTCTTGGAGATTGGTCAGCTGAATGTGAGATGTTACGACGTCAGTGAATGGACCTGATCATTGAAGGGGAATGGAAAACGTAGGCGGCACTATGAGTGGTTGTCGCTAACGGTGAGTACAAAAGTATTAAATTATTCAGTAGTCATTTGCGAAGTGATCGGACAATAAATAATGCAGAAAACCCATTTTCTATGAATTGGATCGGTTAGGTGCTGATTTACTTGTACCCTCTCAAGTCTTGATCTGTCTTGGTCTTTGATGTTCAATACCTATCAATCTATGTAGCAAAAACAGCAAAGCAGGATGATGACTGGTGATGGCTCCTGACTATTCAGTTGGATAAATTAGCATAACGAAACCTCATCAATAGGTCGGATGCGGTTATTGCTTGTTGACCATATGGGTGTTGGTCTGTTTGCCGAGTTTGGCAAATCAAAACTGATTTCCAACCGCGGCGGACGACCGGAAGCGCTAGCGCAGACTTGAAGCAGGGTTCAAATCGCATGATCATGTTGACACGATAGCTTAAGACTATGGTAGAATTTCCAGGCCATGCAGAGAATATGGACAACCAGGGACACATTCATCGGGGGTTACGACCTTACAGCAAATGCGACGATATTACACTAGAATGTCAAACCACCGTAGTAACGAGGTAGCGAAGCTGGGTAAAAAGGTATGTGGCTTGGATGAATTGACGAGAGCAACTGATCCTCAGCACTCACGTCACTTTTTTACTGTATGTGACTCAGGTGAGCTCAGCTACCTGAAAGAAGCCTAAGGGAGATGGACAGGGGAAAAACAAAATATCCAGTGTGGACAAAATTCAAGGTAGCAAACAAGTCGGGTATCTCTAAACTAGCAGGACTCTAGTTGACAAGCTTTCAAGGACAAATGGAGAAAAAAACAATCCACCCAGTTTTTGGCGAAAGCCGATACAAATACTCAAAATTAAGACTAGGTGAAACAAAACATCGACAAATCAAATCAATCTATCTATCTATCAGCTATAAACGTGCACCACATGCACGTCGGCTCCAGCTGCTACAGTTTCGATCACCGGAAGACGGGAAATCGGAATACAAAACAAAACCTTGGAGGCGAAAGCATGTCCAGTTAGTTCGGGAATTGGGTAGCCACAGATTGAAGACCATAGCTTTGATGCACGAGAGCCAATGACTGCGTGATTGGGCCTTTTCCGTTAATGTCGACGGCCACTGGTGATTTGGGTCCCCATCCAAGGGGGCGGCAGTTGCCTACCAGACTGAGTGTGCTGGTTAGTGTCCTCGTACTTCGCTGCCAGATCAAACATCATCCACCTCTCGGTCGCTTCCACTCAACACAGGGCTGGGCGAAAAGAGCTCTGCGAGGCAGACGATCATCTGGTATGCGGAGAGCACGATCCAACGAGCGCAGACTATGAAGCGTGGATAATTCATCTATCGCAGGGGAGTTTCTTCTTCCTAAGACCATCCGTCGTACCTCAGCATTACTGATCAGATATCTCCACCAGACCTGACCAATGCTGCGGAGACACCGATGATCAATCATTGACATCTTCCGTATGTCCTCTGCGCGTAGGGGCCACGTCTCCAATCCATAAAGCAGTAAGGATCGCATTGCCGCATTGTACTCTTCCGTTGACAGACATGCTCATGTCACGTCGGCGCCATAGGCGTCCGAGGTTAGCAGAAGCTGCCCTGACCTTCCTGATTCGATAAATAGTCTCATCTCCAGCCACTCCACCGAGACTTAACGACGTCGATTGGCTCACCTGCAAGCATGAGGTGTGGGTTTGATCCCACCCAGTCTTGTAGAAGCACTTTACACTTTGCAGGTGTGAAACGCATACCAAACCGTGCGGCAGAGTTGATACGTTATTTAAAATCACTTGCATTTGAGGAGGATCTGAACCAAGGACAGCAATATCGTCCGCATACTCAATGTCTGTAATGTAACGTCAAGGGAGCATCTCGACTCCTGAGGTTTCAGAGGCAGGCATAGAAATTTCAAGCAGTGGATGTGGTGAACTCAGGCGAGAGCTTCCCGTATATTCGCACGTGGCGACAGGAGTTCACATACAGTGCCCTCATAAGGGAGGGAAATTTAAAACTTTGGAAATTTGGAAATTAAGGGAGGGACACCTTTGATCGCCAGACACTGCCAAAGTTGCTGACGATCGACAGAATCAAAGGCAGATTTCAAACCCAGATAAAGGACAAACGTGGGGTGTCTAAAGGAATACTGCTGTTCAAGAATTTGTCTCAACGTAAAGCTATGTTCAATGCATCCCCAGCCAGGGCGAAACCAAGCTTGATTCTCACGAACCTGTCGCTCCCGATAATCCATCAACCTATCCAAAATAATGTCACAGAGCGACTTAGATGCGACGGATACCAGGCTGATAACACGATGGTTTTTAGGTGAAGTTCTTGCTCCCTTTTTGAAAACTGGGATGAAAGTCGAGGAACTCCATTCTACTAATACTGTTTTCGTTCGAAATCTTCTGCAGTATGATTGTCAGACTATTCACCAAGACCTCGCCACCTTCTTCGAAGAGCGTGGGGTCTAGACCATCTGGGTCAGGTACCTTGTCGCATGTCAGGGTTGAATTTCTGTTGCTGATAATGGGTTGGTATCAATGTTCCACTCGGGCCCGCTTGGTTCTTCCAGCGGTTGTGTTGAAGGAGACCAGGACCCCACTGGAGAAAATCAAGAGCGAGTTCCAGATTACACGGTGTTAACGACGGAGCGATTGAAAAATGATCATATGTTTGACGACGGCAGCTTATTAGCCAGTGTCTATGAATGTACGGTGAGGCGGTAAAAGTGCATGTTCGCTTATGCAGTAGAAGCGACTGGAGATTGGGACCGACTCATTTTTACTCACCGCGTCACGGGGCATTGAGGACCACACAACCTAAAACCGCCGCAGATCCCTTTTTTATGATGGCACAACGGCGCTAGCTCTAGTTTGACAGCTGTTGCATATAGGCTAAGGGGGTTCTGGAGGCGGGGACATCCATTTGTGATGGATTTTGGGGCGGCGAACAGGAGTCAAGGGAGAGGGCAAACTAGACCAAACCAAGATCCAACAGCCTCGACTACAGTTCCACTCTCCACGTCCTTCTTGATTCTTCACAATCTGGACTTGACTGTGTATCTTGAAAATCACGCGGCGCTGAAGGCGCCACTCGTACACAAGTTCCCATGTTACTCCTTGACTGTCCCAATCATTTTACTGATTGTGTCTCACGAGCAGTAGGTGTTCAGGATGTTTTCGCAGTCAACTTGTTTCCCTCTAAAATACCGTTATAGATTAGAGCAAACCAGACTTGGGATCCAGTTGAAATTTTTCAGGCTGTGAAAAATGAGACTGACCAATGGGTATCACAGAATTGGAGTTACTTGTGCTTTGTTTGTAAAACAGATAACATAATCACGATCAGAGGCTCAATGATCGAGGTTCGTCAGGAGCTATCCTGGTCACATGCTTCGACAGAAATTTTACGCTTTATGAACGACCCTCGCCCATAATACGAACAAGTTTTCGAGGCGGAGGTGAGCTAAATGCTACTCCGCCACGTTCCGACTGATCAGGAAGCACGCCCCCTTTACGACAGTTTTCAACAGAAGGCTAAAGTACACAACTATCTATTTGTGGTTTGCGATTTCAATGATTGCAGTTGGGTGGACAAGAAACACCTCCCTCTCATTTTCATAATACCGACGGCGAAGACGAAATAGAGCTGGAATCGGAAGTCGCACGAAGGATGATGCTTATCACAACCGATAGAACAGAAGTGATGTAAGCCAATTGGAGAACTCGACGGTTGGGTTGAGGAAGCTAAACCCAGCACTGGCTCCTATTTTGTATAATGTCAGGAAGAGTATTCACAGAATCCAGCAGAGGCTGATTTTACAGTCAGTTATTTTATACGTTCACTCCACCTTCGTCGTTCACCTTCAACTTTTCGTTTCCAGTCTGAGCCCGTGTGCGTGAGCGAAATTCGTTGAAGCAAGCGACGTATACGTACGCACCGTATATAAAGCTGCATGGGAACCGTCCTTATAGCGAACGAGCTCGGTTTCCTCATCACGAGCTTGATTGTTAGTTGTATGACACTCACTAGTTGACATGACTCATGCAGAGCACTTGGATCGCGGCAAAAGTATCCGAAGAATGGCAGTTATCTACGGTCGATCAAAAAGGGTATTAGAGCTGAATGTATATACTCGAAGCATCAGTTCGGAGAGTAACGCTTCCCAACTGCTAGCAGGTATCATCCCACACAGACTAATCAGCAACTGTGAGAAACTGTGAGAGCCAGTGCAGGCTCGTCAAGGTCGCGAACGAATCGGCCATATGTTCACTCTTCGACAGGCCCTAAAACACCACCACATTTACATAAAACCAACAGTCCTCCACCGCCTATGCCTGATGGTAGCATCCAACTCACTCGACCTTGTTTTGCAGTGATGCCATACCTGTGCAATTCTTATATCCCAACACACATGGGCACCATGACTACACGGTGAATACATCACAAAAAAAGGTGTTCAGGTTTGGCTCTAGTCATCTTCTTTGTCCTTGTAGAGGAAGCCGATGAAATGTTTTCATCAGTTGGTGTAGAATTACTTTCTTCAAAAGACGTCATCGACATAGAGTATGCAGCTCGCTCGATTTTCTAGAGCGGCCCGCCTCCGGGCAGTTTGTACTAACTCCAAGACTGGGTGGATGCAACACCAAAACTGGATGTGAGGCTCGGAGCAGTAGGAGCGGTTGGTAGCTTCACCTAGATAGACATCTGTGTCTCTCAAACGGCAGTACCTCTGATGGAATGCAAGGGTATTCAAAGACCACTTTTCTATCAAACCTCATCTACTTTTGCGGACATGACTTCAGTTCGTTGGAGGTCAAGATAATTAAGCGTGCAAAACTGCTGACCTCGAGGTCTGTGCATCAAATAGACCTGCAGCTCTTTTCTGGCTACTGTCTATGCTTCGGCCAACCTGGAGTATGCCAGCCATCGTGCCTCCTTCGGGTTATATGGCAGTTATGCGTCAAAGGGGTCTACCAGCTAAACGTTGAAGGTATTCATTTTTATTTTTGTCTGTCGGAAAAGATCAGGGTCTGACAGTAATGAATTGTGTTATGCAGCGCATTATGCCAATACACCGTGTGTTGGGGGTAATGGGGCTCTTGTGAGCGTTCTGAGCAATATCAGATCATTTGATCTTCGAAGCCGCTTCAACCGTATTGAATAATGCATCCGGTGGTCAAGGTCAAACATTGAATGAACCGAACGTGCGGTTTTCAGGGTCGATATTTTTTAGCCCGTCCATTCTCGGAGGAAGGCGGCATAGTCGCTTCCATAACTATGGACATGTTGGTCGCCTGAAGGACATACCCTGCAGTCTTCGCACTCTTATCGCTGAGTACAGCACGAAATAAGCTCCAGCCCCCCACGTAATTTGTCTCTCGGGTAGGGGGACTCGCTGATCTTCGGAGAGTTGCTTCCCGCTAGCGTTCCTAGCATGGTTGGAACTGAGGCTGAGTTTCGGCGAGTGTATCCTGCAGCGTCACTTCAGCACTTAAAAGTCAACTACTACGACAGGGTGGCAGCTTTGGGCCGGATGTTTCCAACATATATGACGGAACTGGCGAGTGCTGGCTGTTCGCCTGTTGGTCTTACCAGAATTGGGATTTAAAGACAAGCTTAGTTGAGCAATTTCATTTGAGTATTAAATAACGCAAAAACAACCGGGTTCCTTCCGTCTTTATTTTATCCAAGATAGACTACGTTGCTGGAGGACTACGGGAAATTCCTATACCGTCTGCATGTTCTGGATTTGTCTTGAAAATAGTTACCGCCTGATGTGAATGGTTGCATTGACATTCCATCTTTACCAGGAGAATTAACGATCTCCGAGGAACCAACTGCCTCTCTGTCGACTGGATCGGCTTGCTTATCACAGTTGCGGGAAACTGGGATGATCGAATCTCTAGACTCTTTTCGGCAGTCTATTTGTCAAGCTAGTATACTGATCCACCTAAGCCCGCCTTAAAACTAGTTGCTCGGGCCAGACGAAGTACAGGTGGCTGTCACCTTTCCCCAAATTGTTTTTCCATATTTTTTTTCGCTGGACTGAACCTGTCTCCGAAAACGTTGGCAATTGATGTTCTTACTGGATCCCTCACTGGATCAGTTGATTGCTGAGGCATTCAGGATATTCCGATTGTCGTACTTAGCCGTGCCAATGACGTACTCATTGTCCGGATCCCAGTACTTTGCAGCCCCTTCTAAATACCCAAAACAATAAGGGACTATTTCTACGAGAGGCTGCAACAAGTTGTCCACCAGACCTCGATACATAGCGTACTGGCGGCGGCATGCGATTGGTGTGGTTGGATTGTTGGACGGAACGACCGCAAACATCATCTTTTAAATCTATTTGGATTAAGCAGAAACTGTTAAAGGCCCCTAAGAGCAGATCCGTAAAATCCGTCTCCTTTAACCCGCTGCCAGCGGTACCTCAAAAAACGTACCGGTAGGGTAATCAGATAACAATTACACAGTTTCCCAGAATAACTACGTTCTGGTTCGTGCATGATGGGCCCAGTCGGTTAGAGACGGTAAATCCCATAGAGGCACGGGTTTTGGAGACCTGCGGATTCAGCTCATCATATTGCCAGCTGATGGACGAGATGGCCCAAGTGGTTAGAGCGCAAATTTACTGACCGGAAGGTCCATGGTTCGAACCCAACCTCCTCCTCTCGACTACCCGTCTAAGCTTGGGCAACCTGGCAGCATCCCAGCCCTCGTGCAACCTTCGGGTGCCATGGCAGTTAGGCATCGAAAGGGTGCGATAGCTGAACGATTATTATTTATTATTGCCAGCGTACCTATTGTGAAGTGGGATAGGTAGCTATGCATTGGAGGCGGGAGCTGATAAATTGTTGCGGAAATACAGCACTGTCAGTGGAATGTTATGCGTGAGAATTCGGAATGGAGCCATGCATTGAAGGTAACAGCTTGGATGCACGAGCGCCGTTGAGGGCGCGACTGGGCCATGTCTGACAATGTCTCTAACCATTGGTATGGTTCGTCTCGAGGTCCCCATCCAGGTAGACGGCAATGACCAGCGCAGCTGAGTTTGCTGGCAGTGAGTTCTATACTTCACTGCCAAATCATTGTTTGGCCGCCTCTGGCTCTCTTGATTGTGCGAAAAGAGCCCTTCGAGGAAGTCGGTCGACTGGCATACGCAACACGTGGCCAAG